AATGACGGGCGCTTTGATAGTTATCATTGGCCCTTTAGTTGACTTCAGGCTTCAGAGAGGGGAAGGAACATCAAAGTGAGAAAAGTGGAGAGGGGAAACAGAAGAGGGATTTACAGATGTAAAAGAGACAGACAGACACAGAGGCAGAGAAAAGGTAAGATGAGTACTGTGGAGTGGTTGAATATGACTTACAGTGGGGTCATGGTAGTTTGAAGTGAGAAGTCAACTGGCGGTTAATAGACTTTTTTGTCTTATGAGTATTCTCTGCCCAGGGTGCACCACGTGGAGGTAAGTCTATCGCACACCCCATATATTTAGACGATGCCTTTGTATAAGGAGATCGTGATGGTAAAAATAGAAGTACGTGTTGGAGTTGGAGTAATAAGAATGTGGAGGTCACCAATTTATGTCGATATATTGAGTATTCCATCAAAACAATTCGAGAGAGAAGTAGTGTCGCCATATGTACGTGTGTCAATAGGGATATCGAGAGAGTTTATATGCATAACTTGAACAAAGGACGAGAGGAGGCATGAATGCTGTGTAATTTGTTTCGTTGTTGCAGCAATGGCTTCCTGTGACAAGTAAAGCTCAAAGTGAATACAATTTGCTCTTTATTTATTTATTCGATTGAAACTTTTCTCTATTTTACTAACTTTGACACTCTCTTTTTCTAGCGAGCCACAAACAAACGATCGTCTACGTCGACAACTTACAATGCATTTACAACTTCTCTGCTCAACCTTGTTAGTTTGTTCGCACAGGGTGGACTTAGAGACACCGGTTTGTAATGCCATCCGTGTGTTATTTGCGGATTTCTATTCTACTTTCCAAGATGCCAAATCCAACCCTCTTTCTTATGTAACTAACCTCTCAGAACTAGATGATACTTTTTCCTCAGCTTATGCATTTATGTCAGAGTTCGCTGGCCTCTCTATTATACCCTTACCACCTCGAGTTAATCCCAGTTCAGCTTTTAATCCCCCTCTTATTCCCCTACCATTTACTGTTCTCGACTTCATCCTTCGTAGTCCTATTTGGGCATATCCTCAACTCCTACCTCATGGGCTGGCGTCTAGACCTCATACTCTCTCTAAAAAGTTTTTTACAGACGACGAAGATTGTCTCTTTGTACTTGGGCTGGCGAATATTATCGAATTCGCACCGCACAAATTCCAACTCTTTCTTGAAACACTTAACTGTGGAGAGAAAACCAAGACAACTAAACGAGGTGAGAAGGCAGATTTAAGAAAGTCGAAAGTGTACAGTTATATCAGAAAAAGCCTTATACCCACCAAATCAACCGTACAACTGCAGAATCGCAAAAACTATATCGAGAATGATATTCGGAGGGATAAATTTGGTGTTCGACGCAGTTCCAAGTCCTCTTTCTACCTTCTTCTTTGTGATTTGACGTCAGGAAATTTTGCTGATCTTGAAGCTCAGCGGAGTCTTTTAAGGCTGTGTGTCTCGAATTTTGCTAGTCGGACCGTCTCCGGGAGTACTTTGAATCAGGTAATTGGGGGGAGTGTAGTGACGGTACAACTTGGAAGTACATTTTCTCGTCCTTTGTGCTGGAAAAAGTTACCCCCGGAGTATATGCAATGTTGTATGGCTCTGCATAAACAGGTTGTTCTTGGTCAAACAGGAACACCACAGCCAACTATTGATTCTTTGCTACCTAAATACCTATCGGCTATTAAAGGCATGAAAAACTTCTTTCTGGAGGCAATGTTAACCTGGTGGCCGACCAATGAATCTGGAACAACGTTTGAACAAGATGATGAAAAAGAAGAAGGAGAAGTAGATTGCCGTTTTGTGAAGAAAGAACGTACTTCCGAGGTCTTACCACCGTATGCTGCTTTCGTATAACCACTTATTTATAATAAGTAGCGTATAGTTATTTTATGAAATGAAGTAAGGCTACTTTTAAATCAAATATTTAAATTTGTCAAAGGAACATATGTGAAAGGAAGGACTAGGAGTATAAGTCATTAAATAAGCTCATAAAGCTGAAACCATTGTGGCGGATTATTTACACCAGTTCAACTTGCTTTATCCTATCGAAATATGAGTTGGCTTTACTGAAGATAGTTTGTAACGGTGAAAACTCAAACTACTAACTAGCATTTCCGTCTAAGTTACATAAAAAGCGGTAAGAAAATAACGGAAAATAACCAATAAGCTTAATGGGACTTAGTGATTAGGTATGGTGTCCGTCTTGTCATCGCTCTGAACTCTAAAAAGGTCGTGAATGATGTAAAATGAAAATGCCACTAATTAAGAGATAATAGACCTCCCACCACGCGAAATGTTGCTTTTAGTTACTTGTAATTTTTAGTATTACGTCTGATCGAACCCCTTTAATAACTCAATATTCGTCGCCATCAACGAATGTCAATCTTTCAACTCCCGTCACTGACGTGCCTTCCACTTCACATCAACGGGGAGTTCAGGTTGCCACCAGTACTGTCTCTCCGAAGTTAGTTCCTACCATATACATTTACCATTGTATTTTTGAGCTGTCTTGAACAGTCTGAGTTAATCAGCAAAGATGAGGTCAAATTTCTGATATTTGAATTGAGAAATGAGTGCAATATTTCCATATTTTATTGCTTCCCTTTTCAATTCCTTGTGAAACTTTGCTCTCAATCTGACTATTAATGCTTTTATTGCACTAATTAACTTTTTGTATTAGTGGGTTCTTATTAATTTGTTCAATTTTACGAATTTGATTATTTTATTTTTAAATTATTCACTTAAAATCCCATGATTTAAAGGCGATCGGTGTGGTTTCTGATTGTGGCCATTAGAAAGACTAAAATTCGAAAAGCTAGAATTGGTGTACTTAATTGGCAGTCGTTTTATAATATAGAACCACAACCACGCACAGAGGGTTCATGGGGCAGTAATCTTCGAACAGATGGGTACAACAGACTTAAATTCTACTCGTATTGTCTAATGTTAATTTAAAAGCCGCCGTTTGTTGGTGTGTTTCTATTCCTTATAACCACCTTATCCAGGATAGATCCCAATTGCTTCAAGATTATGTTTTTTTTTCAACACTCATTTTACTATGTGAAGTATTATGAGAGAATCAAGCATTCTGTCCTCTCTCCTCTCTCGGTCAATTTTTGTAGATGGGCTAGTATTGCTTCTCAGTAAATGCGCGTTGAACTCTGCTCGATGAGATTTGCATGTCGGGAAACTCTCACCACTAGCTCAAATCTCACCAAACTTCTTTTCATTTCTTTTAGTCGACAACAACGGACTTCCGCATTGCCAATGCCTCCTTTGAACGTAGTCCTTTGTCAAATGCCCCTCTCCACAACCCAACTACAACATCGTCCACCAGTCTCTGGTGGTATTATTTCTAATGTCTCAATTCAGACAATTCCTCCTACTTCTCAACCTGCTTTAATAATTCCACAAACCAGTCATAAAGGCACTTCTCCAAAGGTCAGTTTTCATTCCGTTTAAGACTTCATCTGGTTTTTATTAGTTTCGTTCATATCAATGGGATTATTGAAATTAGAGTGAATGCAAGGCTCTTATGGTTGTGCTCATATCTGCATTAATTGAATCCATTAATTAGGTATTTTTGTTCGAAATTTCGTTACCTGTGGAGAATTGGGTCAACTTCAGTCCTTGATCACCTCTTGTGTTCATTCGTTTAATCCATTACATCAAGGAGTTGCCGACTTATGTTGAGTTATCTCAAAATTCAAGAGTCAGAAAATTGAGCACGGGCTTTAAATTGAGCTAATAGAACTTAACTCGAGTTGAGGTGGAACAACCTGGTGTCGGGTTTATGTGCAATTTGTCTTGCACTCTTCCTTCTGTTGTCTGAAGTAATTTAGTATCGCTGACCATCCATTTCACTAAATCCGTTTCGGGATTTCCGACTTGGCAGATAGACACGATCTAAAAGTACTCATCCTCTTTGAATTAAAGCCTCTTTAAGCACTGATATAAGTCAAGTATTTAAAATTAATAAATGCGCATCATTGGGTCTAGATTAAAGGTCGATGTCTTTGCACCAAATGGTGAATAATTAACTTTTATTTGCCCTAAATAGTAAGTTGTGAACGCTTCTTTAAATTTGATTTTCAGAACATTTATTTATTTATATCAAATGGCAGGTGTTTTGATAGTCATCATTAGCCCTTTAGCTGACTTCAGGCTTCACAGAGAGGAGGAGGAACATCATAATGACAAAAAGTCGAAAGGGGGGGGGACAGAAGAGTATTTTAAAGGTGTAATAGAGACAATCACAAAGGTAGAAAAAAGATGAGGTGAGTACTGTTGAAGTGGTCGAATATAACATACAGCGGGGTCATGACAATTTGAAGTGAGAAGTCAACTGCCGGTTAATAGACTTGCCGTATGCGTATACGTTGGCCAGGGTGCACCACGTGGAGGTAAGTCTATCCCACACCCTTGAGTTTCAGAACTAAAAATTACGAGTCAGAGCTCAAGAATATCAAATTTAAAGTTTTTAATGCCGCTATAATCATTAAGTTTCATTTGTCTTTAAACTGCGCCTTTTTTGTCTAACTAGTTTTGTTGATAGGAACTATAAATAAATACGTTTACCGTTGCTTTTAAATGCATGAAATAATTAACCTTGTTCCTCTGAAGCTGGCGGCGAATGGTTATGTACTTCTGTTGCCGAAAAATGTCCAGTCTTCCATTTGAACGAAAAAGAAGCCCACCCTCTCAGAGCTTTGTGAGTTTCAAAATAGAATTACTTGAATTTTTCACTAATTTAATTTCTTTTTAAATGTTCTTTTTTGTATTGTTGTTGCAGAAACTGTTGAACAACTTGAATCTACCTTGAGCATTTTTATTACCGAATTTTCAACTTCGCCGCATTTTGCATCCTGGAATACTTCTCATATGTTTGTATTGGTCTATTCGTGTAGCTTTACCACCCAATAAATTAACTGATTACGCTATTTTCGCACATCTTATTGGTCCAAAGTACATATTGTGTATCGTAAATGATAGATGTTTGCTTCCTTTGGATATTAAATTCAACAAAACCCGTTCTTTAATATTCCCTGTTTGTATGCCCCAATTATGCATGCGTGTTCACATACGTTTGGGCGTAAGCCTCCCGTGTTCTACACACTGACGAAAATGAAATTTAGAGCAATGGCTTAACACCTTTTAATCTTTTTTCCGACTCAGGAACCTGCACCTACGCCATATTTTAAATCTATATCAGCCAAACCACCGCCACCCAAAAAGGTTGGTTACTTATTTATAGGCATTGAAATCATCTCTGAAACCTTGAAGAGAACTTCATTTCCCTCTTATGTTGCATACACCTCACCAGAATGCCGAGCATTCTCCTCATTCTCGTCAGAAAATTCCCTCTAAAAGAGCAACAACATTAGCAGGAACCACACCCAAGCAATCTCCATCTTTTTTGCCTCAGGTTGGAAAGACAATTTCCTCATTTCACGTAGTTCTTGATCGAGGTCTTAGGGGATTGGCACCACCAGCATGTTCCAGCGAATCTTCTGATACCGCGCGCCTCCTGCGTCGTTGTCGTCGCGAAAGTCCTGCTTGGTTACCTAATATCCCCAAAACCATTACTGTGACAGATGAATCAGACGTTCGAAGAGCTCGATGTCTTCTAGATCGAATTCATATGCATCTGGGTCGCCAAGTCTACACTCAGGTTGTTCTCGCTCTTAGAGAAGACCCACCTTCCTTGGAATGCATTCTCCGTCTCCTTTCGCCATCCCGTCCCCTCTGGGAAGAGTTTATTAACCTCTGTCTGACCCATGGGCAAGCTAGATCATTTCAACTCTATCCCACATATGCTCATCTTCGAAGAGTTGGAGAAATCCATTCCCTCTTAAAGTATTCCCTTCCCCGAGCAACTAGACTTTGGGCTAGGCTTAGAAAATTAGCTGACTCTCGCGAGTCGGGAGAATTGCGAATTCCAGCCACAGACGAAGCTCCAACCTTATCAGATTCTCTTCTCAGGCGTCCAAAAAAGCGTCGACGTAGGAGAAAAAAACGACTCAGTGGAGAAGATGAGCAAGAAGAGAAGCAAAAACCAGCTATAGATGTCTATCGAACTGCGTGGTCGCTATTAGAAATTGCCCTGAAAGACCGGTTTGCTCTTCATGCTCAAACCGCCATTTCGCTGGACCCCATGCAAAAGCCGTACTCAAATTTCCCACAAACTTTTGAGGTCGTCGATACTTTGGCAAGAAAAAAAATTTCCTCCATGGGAGTGGACTCTTCTCGTACAAATCTACTTCCGAATGAGAGTGGATCGTTACCTGCACCATTGCCTAGACTTGTGGAGGACCCGTCGTTTGTAGAGACCTCACAATGGGAGACGTCTACAGAGTTATCGTCGAATGCTTCGACTATAGTGAAATCGAAGGCGGCGAATAGATGCCCTTGTCCCTGTCATGTTGGGAAAGCAATGAAGACAGAGGTCTTTCAGTTGCAGACCCCCTCTCCTGGTGGTAGGCCAGCTGCTAAAGCCGATAGTCTTGGAATGCGGCATTGTATTCGGTGTAGTCTTAGGGTAAGGTGTTATTTATCATTGACTTTGCATCTTGTAAAGCTAACTCAAGAAAATTAGTCCAATGAATTAAAATGAGTGCATTTAATGGATTTGAATCATAAGCACCAAAGCGTATTTAATCACTTATCCGGTAACGTTAGAGGGCCTTTTTTCGAAAAATGTTCAAATATTCATTTTACTCAACTCTAAGTTTAATCCTATGTTTAGTTATCCTATTCTTTAGTCACCCCATTCAGCCTCATTTGATAAACAAATATGCGCATTGAAAAGAAATTTCCTTCAATAGGCTTGCATGACCTCATTATATTGAAGTAAATAGTAGTTCAAATGGTCAATAGCCCGATTTACTAAGCAGTTTTTCTTTGTACTGTCGGTTACTTTTTAGTATAATGTATTCGAGCGTTCGATATCAAAAATCGAACGTTCTTCCTCCTTTGTTATGATATTTTGTAGTAAAAATTAAATTTGACTTAATAATTGATATCTTATTAATCTTTCTTGCATGCCCGAGCCCATAGCATGCAATGCTTTATCTAAATATAAAATTAGCCAATTTAGAAGTTTCTTAATTTTATGATTACTTGTTCACGCTTTTCTGGACTTGAGGGTTATTGCTGGGTATCACTCAGAAATTAAGGTCATTCTTATTATTATCCTTATTACTCCCACTTAATTAGCAGTTTAAAGTATCAGTAGAAAAGGATTATAATTTATTAACTCTTAGTTATTTGATTTAACAGACAATAATTCTATTTTGTAGGTTCAACAGGGTATTCTCTATGTGGATGAATGTAACTTTCATCTGAATCATGTGAAAATCAGCTGGCCTAGTGGATTCGTTCCACCTTCTGCAAGTACAAGCGCGTTTTCTCCTAGCAGTCTCAACAACACAGCTCCACCACCTTGTCTTACTACCACTTCTGCTACAGCACAACAGGCTTTACAAGCTCTTGGGGAGTATGTAGAATCCTCTACCTCGTCGAATACTCGAACCGATGAGATTTCTGTGCCGGACTTGGCAAAGCGGCAGGTGTCGGTGAATTTTGAGGAATTGGTGCTGCCACAAACTTGGAAGGTGCATGATCTTCCTGGATCCATTTCGGAGTCATTGGCAGTGGAACAGGATGATGAGGAAGAGGAAGAAGAGATTGAAGAAGAAGCAGACTCTCAAGGCGGCGATGACTTTTTGTTCGGTTCGTACTTTTGATTTCCTGTTGTTTTTTTCCAGATGTGTTCTTCAGTCCTGATATAGCAACTTAGAATTTAGGGCCTTTAAAATAGCTTCCCTCACATTGTTCGCCTTTAAGCTAATCCAAAATAAAAATATGAAAAGTAGCGTATTGTCCAACTGCTAATTAGGGTGTTCATAGAACTAAGACGCTGTCCATAAAGTCCGGTTTAGGCCATTCCTTATTCCAATGCCATGTAGCAGTCAACTCCAATGTAAACTTTGTTGGATGTTGAGGCAGGAACTGAACATGTCTATTAGTAAAAACAGATGTAGCAATATTTTTTAATGTTTCATTTTTATGTATATATTTTTATTATATATTTCATGAGCAGGCTGACATCATTCTGAGCACAGAGTGCAAAAGCAGTCAATAAGGGAGTTACCCCTGTAAGTTAATTTAGGTATTATGAAGGTTGTATTGATAAAAGTAAGGGTCATAATAGGTTTTACTGGTACTTCCTATTGTAGTTAAATCAATAATTCGCCGAAAAATATAAGATAGCCACAAGAGAGTACACTAGACTGTATTCGAATATTAAGCTTAGAAATTAGTTCTTTACTATTTCATTTTTTAGATGAACCCTGCGAAAATTCGCCCTCCTTCTTCCAACCTCCACCAATTGAAATTGACGACGAGGCCTGTTTCAACACGGAAGCCTTCTATCAACGCTATGAAGAGACCGACGACACGGAGGATGAGCTTGGAAATCGAAAGGAGAAGGCGGTGGTGCCAATTCCTTCGTCTGTACCTCGTCGGCAACAGTGCACTCTGAACACTGCTGAGGAAGCTGAAACGGAAGCTACGTGGTCAATGGCAGAAGATCGAAAGTTACTGGAGTATTTCAATGGTATCGAGAAGTGTACAGTTAGTCACTTTCGGGATCTGGCTGCTGAATGGCCTCAAAGATCACCACAGGAACTAGCTGCTCGATTCAAGTACCTTATGCTTGTGGCATATGGAGAAGATTGCACAATTGGGGATTTAACAAAGTCACTCGAACAAGATCAATCTAAAGACGGTGGAAGTGAAGCAAGAGAAGGAGAAGATTATATGTATTCAATACGCTTGTAAAAGATTGCATCAGTACTTACTCTCCACTATCTGTAAATATCCATTTCTCTACGTATATCTAATGGGCCATACTTATTTATTAGATGAAAATGAACAAACCATTGTTTTTTATTAAAATCTAGACCCATAAAGATGATATTATGCCGTTGATAATCCCACTTTTTGCTAAAATTGGAATAGCTCATTGTGCCATATTCTAATATTTCTCTGTTTAAATTTAGAACTGGATTAGGTGACTGATCATCTCACTTTGTAAGCAAAGTAAGATTAGATTAGTTCAGTTAAGAAATTATCGGAGTGCGTTGATTTTATAAAACTAATGCAAAATAGGTCACAAATCATTATTCGGAAGAAGGGGTTGTTTAACGCGTTTATTTCAACCTATACAGTTTCTCCCGCTATCTATCTATTCTTGAAATCGCTTGACTAACGCTGATTTGGGCCCAAAGTGAGAGTCTGACAGGATTGACTGCAGCTAATGACACTTTACGGACTTTTCAAGGACTAGCTATTAATGATTAAAAGTTGCACAAGCTTTATTGATGTTAGAAACTTAAGAACATCTGCAGTCGCCCTCTTGGCCAATCAGAGCTCACCGGCATCCAATCAGAACTCGGCCGCAGTTTACAAGCATCCAATGATATGCACATATAAAATAAACGCGAACTCCCCATGTCTAGCACTACTAATTGAGTAAGAGGTAGTTATGGCGACAGCCCCATCATTCAACGAATATGAGAACCTATTTTCCAACTATGGTGAAACCAGTTCCAATAATAATGTGTATTCATGTTCAAGCACACAGGACTATCATGGAAACAGCAAAACTTGTTTTGATTACTCCAATCATGAAGGTCTGGAGTCAAATGGCTCTAATAGCTACCACTGGATGGGCACTAAATATGGTAAGCCTTGGCAACTTAATATTCTGCTTCCTGTTTTTTTACTGTGAACCAATGAACTTCGCATTTGACTGGTTACTTTAATGCCTAAAGTTACCTGAAATCTACATCATCACGGTAAATCGATAGAAATTTAGATTAATATATATATATATATGAGGCTGCTAAAATTTAGTCCAAGGCGCTGAAATCAAGTATAATAGGCTAATTTGATTTTCCATTAAGTTACTATTTTGATATGAAACTAGCTTTCTTCTAACTCGAAACGCAAAACAAAAATTGAAGGATTTTAATTTGACACTGGGGACAATATTAGGCTTTACCTGCCTAATTGATTAAAGGCTAAAGATAAGCTGCTTTGGTTATCATTTCATTAAAATAAATGCTAAAGCGTAATAAGAGAGCGGCTTTGGACATTTAGGTCCTGAAAAGTTTTCCTTAGATTTTGTGTGCAAATCGGTGTCATTTTCCCTGCTTGATATACAAGTTAAACATACAGAATATTGTTGCTATTAAGAATTTAATCATTGATATGATACTCGGATTAGCGTTACACGGTCCAAGGTCTATTGATTCTTAAAAAGAGCAAAAGAAGTTTGTATTGAGTTGAGCACTTTCACCCATTTGCCAACCGTTTTAAAATGAGGGATCCTGGATGACTTTTCTCACCAATTTCGAGAAATTGTTGGGTTTGTTTGTCTGAAAACTTACTATCTTTTAATTTTACTCATAATCGTTTTTACTTGGGTTATATTATTCCACACTAATTATTAGGATTGGAAAGACTTTCAGATGTACTAGATTGTTAAACACCTCAGCAAATGAAATCGTTGCCATTCCTTATGGGTTTGTAAATTTTTGCATGCAGTAGTTAATATTTATTATTTATTTATTTCAAATGGCAGGCGTTTTGATAGGTATCATTAGCCCTTTAGCTGACTTCGGGCTTCACAGGGGGAAGGAACATCAAAGTAACAGAAAGTCGGCAGGCGGGGAACAGATGCAAAAGAGACAGACACAAATGCAGAGAAAAGGTAGGATGAGTGCTGTGGAAGTGGCATAATATGACATACAGTTGGGCTATTGTAGTTTGAAGTCAGAAGTTAACTGCCAGTTTATAGATTTTCTTGCGTGATGAATATACGTTGCCCAGGGTGCACCACGTGGAGGTAATTCTATCGCACACCCCATAGTTAATATTATCTCTTGCTATTCTTTCAACAATCCCCACGAGGTTGAGTTGTGGAGTTTGAGAAAGTAGGATGTACTTCGTTGATGTTCTTAACAGTAAGATAGTTCAATCGATTTTAATGAATTTTCACTTTTCACAATGCGCTTATTACAAAGCTTACATAAATTCGAAGTCAACTCAAGTGTGCTTATTAACAAGTAGTTGAAATTAGAGAAGCTTTTTAATCTCGTCAATGCCAAAAATTGGACAATAAAGAAGGAAGTACAAAGCTCCGATGTAAGTGTTTCGGTTAGAACATCATAATTATTCTATGAGACCCATTTTTCTAAACAAGTTTTCACTTAAAATGAAAGGAAGTTACTGAAAATGTCTTTATTTCAGCTAGCTCATTGACAACACTAAAGAATCCAGTAATCTTCTGTTAAATCTTATTAGGTCATAATTCAGGCTAAAAATCGATACATGCTTTAGTCAAATTCTTCATCAATTCCCTATCACTTACTATCAGATTTCTATCAGCTCAATTTTTCGCCTATCTCACTATCTCTCTAAATATAAAAAGGGCAAAAAAGTCTCATATCATATTTTATCCTCCTAAGAAGCACACGCACGCCCCCCCCCCCCGGGGTGTTTACTCAGTCTCCATATTTACTCAGCAATCCTTCCGCTCCCACCCCGATTTTTGTTTCTCGCTCCCATCTGCTTATACCATGGAGTGTTTGTATCCCGCCCCCCCCCCTCTCTTATCTAGGAGGGTAAATATGTAGCAGCTGAAGTTGAAGATACAAGGTGGAAGGAACTGTTTGCTGGAAAATAGTCAAGACTGTGAATGTTTTGCTGTGAAGTTGGCACAGCTGTCAGTCGTTAATATTCACTGCTTCTGTCCCATATTATGCCAAAAGGTGTGCTTTTGTGGATAAAAATGGAGTGAATGATTATCACATGTTTTGATAAGGTATATAGATAAATAGGATTATCAATTAGTCGAATAGCTGTTGGAGAATTTGCAACTTTGACGTGATCTTTAACTTGACCTTGTCAATAAAAATAGCAGAAGCATTATAGTTGATAAATTTATCCTTTGAATAAAAGAAATTTTATCGTTTTAATCAAATAAGAGAGGCGAGTATGTCAATGTTGGTAGTAAATCTCACACACTGGGAACTCAACCATCATAAATTCGACCAATAGGAAGTAGCTGTTTCAAGGGTGGTAATATTATTTATTTATATCAAATGGCAGGCGCCTTGATGGTCATCATTAGCCCTTTAGTTGACGTCAGACCTTACAGAGGGGAAGGAACATCAAATTGAAAAAAGTCGAGAGG